TTAATATATTTATATTTTAATTTATTTTAATTCGGCATAAAAAATAATTCCTAATTATTTTTAAAATTTTAATACCATCCTTCGTACTACCTAAAACCACGTCATTTTTTATAATGTATTTAGGCCAAATTTAGTTTTCCCAAAATGCTTTATATAACCAAAAATAATTTGTTTTTACAATCAAGGTACAAATCGTTACAAAATAGTTTATTTTAAAAAATATTTTATTTCGAATTAATCCCATCATAACATCTATATATTTTATTATTGACAAATTTTCTGGCATTCTATCTAATATATTTTCTAGCATATCTTCTGGCGTTCTATCTGGTAAATTTTCTGGCATAACAAACATTCTGGCATTTTATCTAACATACCTTCTAACATTCTATCTAACATTCTATCTGGCATTTTCTGGCAATTTATCTGGCATATGTTTTGGCATATCTTGTGGCATTTTATTTGACATTCTATCTGGCATATCTTCTGGCATTCTGTCTGGTATATGTTCTGGCATTCTATCTGGCATATGTTCTGGTATTCTATCTGGCATATCTCATGGCATTTTATCTGGCATGTTTTCTAGCATTCTATCTAGTATAGCTTCTGGCATTCTATCTGGCATATCTCATGGCATTTTATCTGGCATATGTTCTGGCATATTTCATGGCATTTTATCTGGCATATGTTCTGGCATTCTATCTGGCATTCTATCTGGCATATCTTCTGGCATTCTATCTGGCATATCTTCTGGCATATGTTCTGGCATATCTTGTGGCATTCTATTTGGCATTTTATCTGGCATTCTATCTGGCATATCTTCTGGCATTCTGTCTGGTGTATGTTCTGGAATTCTATCTAGCATATTTCATGGCATTTAATCCGGCATCTCTTCGTGCATTCCATCTGGCATATCTCATGGCATCTCATGGGATTTTATGTGAAATTTCACGAGGTCTTGGGGTTTTGGAATTTTTAGGGTATATTGGGTTTCAAAGTCAAAATGCATCATTTCGAGCAACCTGCGCGCAGAAGGGTCGTCAGGAAAAGTGTTGAATGTTGTGGTGCTCACTGAGCTGGGCAGGTCCCAGGTTGAGGTCCAGCAGTGCATACTGAGCTGGGCAGGTCCCCGGTTGAGGTCCAGCGGCGCACACTGAGCAGAGCAGATCCCAGGTTGAGGTCCAGCGGTGCACACTGAGCTGGAACGGTCCCAGGTTGAGGTCCAGCGGTGCACACTGAGCTGGGAAGGTTTTTGAGGTTGAGGGCCAGCGGTGCACACTGAGCTGGGAAGTTAGCAAAGAGCTTGGCGCAGAGAGTCGGCGAAGAGAGTTGGCAAAGAGCTTGGCGAAGAGTTGGCAAGGCGGAAGTGCAGGTGGAAGTTGATGCAGACATGGTCGAGGAGAAACTGAAGGAGGAGGTAAGGAGGAGGACGAGGAGGAAGAGGACAGCTAGTCGAGGAGGAGGAGGAGGAGGAGGACGAGGAGGAGGAGGATGAGGCGGAGGAAGAGCGCTCTGATAAAATCTAACAACCCTCACCTGGCAGGTGGGGAAAAAGGCATCTAAAATGGAACATGGGGCCCCCGATTTCATAGTGAAAATATGCTAGAGAATCTAAAAATGAAAAGACGGACATATACGGAAATCATATGATATATTACTATTTTTTTTGTAATTTTTCTTTTCAATAAGCATCAATATGCGTTCCATACGAGCAGTCAATGCCCATGGCCAGGATCCTTCGATAATCGCCTCAATGGCGGCCAGTTGCTGACTCATCACATCCCAAAATAATTACAAAATCAATAAAACGATAGTACAGCACCCGACAGAATTATGGAAAAAAAGAAAACGTTTCAATTTACAGGCGCCGCCTGTCTATGATAGAAAAGTTACGAACCTTTTTTTTTTCCATAATTATTTTTTTCATAATTATTTTTTTTCCATAATTCTGTCGGTGACTGTATGTCCATCGATTCGCAATTTGAATGCATTTTAAGGGGGAATATTGAATTATAGAAAATATGTGTCTAAAGATCTGGTATATGCCCCTAAGTCTTCCATTGATATACAATTGCACCACCAAAACTCATTGTTGTACGTACATACATATGCGGGATGTATCCTTTTGCCAAGCCACCAATTGGGTTGATACTACATACTTGCATTTGCATACATATTTCCATAACCCCCAAAAAAAAGGGGTTTGAATTGTGGATCCATGACATGTCCAACAGGTGGAGCCCCAAACATTAATTATGGAAAAAAATAATTATGGAAAAAATAATTATGGAAAAACCGGTCAATCTGCCCTAGCCCCCTGATTTTACAGGAAAAATCAATTATGGAAATAATGGCCACCTCCAAGAATTATGGAAAAAAAAAAGGTTCGGATCACTTCCGGGATATTTTGAACCCTTATGGGGAAAAACCCAATTATGGAAAAATCGGACGCAGGCGCCGCCTGTCTAAGTTGAACGTTTTTTTTTCCATAATTCTGTCGGTTACCATAGACCATCCCTAATTTTACTATAAATGGACGGTATAAATGTGTATAGACCATGAAATATGGATGGTTTATGATGGTTTATTGATTTTATTGATTGTTTTGCTACATTTTACTCACATTTTATGGTGACTTAGGGACATTTCGGAATTATCAATGCAGGTAGGGATGGAACATACGTGGAGATTTGGAATATGTTTAGAAGCAACACAGCAACATACAGCAACATACAGCAACCGATCAAAGTTCAGCTTGCCTCCCGTGCCCATGACTGGATGAGCATTAGATTCCACGCTGACAACAGAACTGTCTGAAATGATGGTGACATTATATGCATGAGGCATCCCAACAAATTCTGGCTGATCTTTTCAGTGGTTCCGAAAAATATTAAGGAATTGGGCCAAAATAGTGGTTTTGAAAGTTATAATGATTTCACAACTAACTGCACGCGTTTTTTCCATGCTTCTCGGCTGGTTTCAAAGCATCGCTGCAGCCTGCAGTCAAGTCTAACCGTCACGCACTGTGGGACAAACATGCAGGGCAAATCATCAATTCCCTCATGAGCCCGACTGAAGTAGAACTGTATCCCACCTATTTTTGTTCAAGATGGTCTAAGATTTCTGATTCTGGCATGGTTTCTCAAATGCCCATGGCTCGTATAGATGCGCGTATCATTTGGCTAGTCTTAGACTGCCAAAATGAAGGCAAGCTTTACATCTTTGGATTTGGGGCCTGCTTGCTTTGAATGCACTGTTATAAACATATTATTGAAATAATTATATTATATATGATTGAAGGGCTGTGTTCCGAACATACTTCTAACCTGAAATGTCAATGATGTACCGATGTCCGAATTGTAGGGGGAGATACAAAGCACAGGGATTCAAAAATGGTGACTGCGTCCGCCTCCAAAAAATTGTTGGGAACAACTAAGAAAGCTTTTGCTGCTATATCAAAATGCAATATGAGAAAATTGATATTTGTGGGAATCAGCTTCTTGTTAAAGAAAGAAATGGGTTCTTGCTATTCCAGACTGTCCAAATCCAAAGCAGCTAGGCGGCGATAAATATCACAATCACATGGAGCTTAACGCCCGGAAAGACAAGGAAATCACAAAACTCTATTGGGTAGTATATTTTGGCAATGGCTCGGGGGTTCCCACAGGACAACCACCATCGCCGCCTGCCCAAAGCTAACCCATATCTACTACATGCTTGGAGCCGCTTGCAGCCGCTCCAGCCGCTTCAGCCGTTTAGCCGCAGGAGCTGCGCAGGAGCTGCGCAGGAGCAGTTGCAAGAGTCCCTGAGCAGCAGTCAGATTGATTCAGACAACCCTTCCATGCAGGCAAACGACGCTTGGATTCACATCCCTTCCCCAGATCGCATGGAATGGTCCAGGCATTGCACCTAAGGGTTCCTTTGCTCTTTCTTATTCCTACGTGCGCAGCGAAGCTGTCTAAACAATAACTACCTCCAATCCACGGGAAAGACGTGCCTCAAAGTTTGGATGTGAAACCTTGCAAGCCGGCTGAGGCAGCAAAAGTGCCTGAGCAGGGGAAACCTCACAAGCTCTTGCAACGACCCTTTTGTTTGCCATCTTTGCCCCAAGTGTTCCATTTCACGGCTCATTTCTATTTCATTTCAATACTGCTTGGAGCCTCTGAGTTGTCCAAACCACACCAACCCATTGGAGGTTGCCTCAAAATCTGGAGGTGAGATTGGAAAAGGCGGCTGAAATAGCAAAATAAGTGCCTGACTGATCAGACCGAAGCACCCTTCAATGTCTTGAAAATACGATTCCGTGTCCAGTTTTCTGCCCAAGTCGTTTGGAAAGGTCAATGCGTTTGATTTAAGGGTGTCGTTTCTCTCTTTTATAATTATGATGAAGGGTCCAAACCTGACCAACCCACCGGGAAGATTGGCCTCAAAGCTCGAACGAGATGGCACTGCAAATTGGGCCTGGGAGCTCTCAGTGTGAAAGTTACAATGCAGCAGCCTCAACGAACCTGAAATTAAGTTTGCTGAAGGCATAGATGCGCAGAGGCAAAGCCTGAAGGCCATATGGCACACTTGTGATGTTTTGGCGCACTGTTGGGAAGCTCAATGCACACCTAGCAAATTGGCTCAAAACAAAATCGGCTTCACTGCATGTTGGTGAAAGCCGCTGAGCCGCACATCCAAAGAGCCGACCCTATCCTCACTCACCGGGGCTGTCTGGTTCCAGCGGGGCTTCTTCAAGATCAGTCTTTGGCGCCAAGCCCTCCAAGATGTCAGGGAAAAACTTCTTCACATCTGCCGCCAATGCCTCAGAGAAAAGTGTCGACCCTTCCAAGGTAATGAGACCGCAAGCGGCCCTGTCCGCAATGGCTTGCAGCCATTGTTGGTGCTCCTTGTTCAGGCAAAGGCCATGGTAGATGACTCCCCTGGTTAAGCTGGCTTCCATCATTGCACCTGTGCCAGCGGTCACGTCAAAGACTGTGGCAATCTTGTACTCATCGAGGATGGCATTGTAGAAGCTGATGGGTTTGGATTCTTGCCAAAAGAGCGGCACGGAGTTGCCAAAACGGTCTTGCCAATCATCAGGCGGAGCCGGAGAAGCCGCACAGCCGAGAACCCGAGCTTTTTCATCCAGTGCCATCAGGGGAAGTTCATAAGAGGAGCGAAACTGGACTCCACTATAGCTCCCCTGAAAAGTAGTGGCTTCACCACAGGACGTAAAGTTTTCACGCTTGGATGTTTTCACCCGCGCCCTCTGCGTAGGAAAGTGGACTGCGGCTGTCTCGAGCTTGCGAGCAGCCAAAGGGATTCTTCGCATCCGACCAGCGCGCGCAACGCAGCCGCCGGAGTAAAGCAAGCACATTTCTTCTGATTGCGACTGCGACAGCAAGCTCTCTTCCTTATGGGCTATGTGGGCCGCGCAAATTACTTCCAAGGCTTGAACTTGACCTTAATAAATAGCATTGATGTTGTTACTGTGCTTGTGTCTGTAGGGATTGGCACCATCATTTCATTTGTCTGCGCGTTCATGTGATCACAAGGTGAGGAAATGCGATAGCTTGGTGTATCGTGCCTTTACTGTATAGCAAAAAGAACTGCTGACTAATCTTACTAATTCAGGTGCAATCTTAGACGGTACATTCTGCAACAGAGACTCTTTAATTTAAGGCTTTCTCCGAAGATCAGGTAATCATGTCTGGGAATTTGGGAAAGTAGTAGAAGTTATTGGGTCACGAATGATACATCAAGGCTGAGTAGCATTCAGTCGACGAACTTCCCTCATTCGCCCGTCAAAAACCATGGCAAAGTCTGTAGGCCCTGTGGTGCTAGCGCAGAAGTCGGCAATCCCCTTCCACATTACAGCATCTGGCTTGCTCTGTGCCATCCATGGTTCATCACCGGTCTCGCAAAGAAGGTCGGCTGAAGCACAGATCAATCTATGGCTGGAGTTGAGAGTCCCACTGTGGCCATAAGCTTTTCCGCATGCTCGGAAACTGCCCAACAAGCTCTCTTGTTTGAAACTCTTTGGCACACTGAAGGTTGCAAATTTTCTGCGTTCTCCTTGGACCAGCTTCCATACTCGCTCACGCTCTGCCGTCAACTCCTCCACGGGCTGGGTCTGGTTCAAAGTACTCATCAAAGACGGAGCTGGTGCTGTGGATTTCACAGAAACGCTCTTGCTGCTCGAATCAAATGCCTTCACCACTTCGCAAAGCTGCACTACCAAAGCGATGGAAGCCCCTTCGGAAGCTTCTTCCCCAGCATCTCTTGCTGTCGGCTGCAGCATCTTGGCTACGGGTTCTCCGCATTGGCTAATCTCGCGCAAATCATCTCCATACTGGCCACTCATCAATGCCACAAGGAGGTCCAGCAAACAACCTGTAGCACGGTTGTATTTTGCCTTTAGAGTGGCCAAAGCAGTCTCCGAAGCAGCCGAGTCGCCGTGCTCAGCCGCTTCTCCATCCTCATCCTCAGCACCCTTGGCAGGGACTTCCTCAGTCGGCTTCAAGAAATCTTCCCAGCACTTCATGGGGTTGAAGATTGTGTCCTGAATCAATGCTAGGCATGACTGCGATTCCATCTCAGGCAATGTCTTCACCAAGGATTTCGCCAGGTCAAACACCTTCCAGGTGGTGCAGGAAAAAGGTGATGGGCATAAGATTACAAGAGCCAAAGCAATGCATTGGTGAAGCTTCATTCTGAATTAAAAGAATGTTCCTGTAAATACCATTCTGGTGCAAATGGCGCCGAAGGTGTTAGGCTGAGCAAATTGCTTGTGGGCATTCCTCTTTGGTCAGTCCCGAACCACCCAGCCTGCAAGACTATCAAGCATGCGTGCCAAAAACCATGGGTTCCTTTCTTCCGGTCCTTGTCCAGAAACACCTCGGTAGCTTTTGTCACGGTAGTCTGCCTGCATAGCAGTGAAAGGTGAAGCATGTCCACAAGCCAGGCAGCAATCTGCAGAGGAGTGCGATCTCCTTGGGCCGCACCTTTGGCGATGCTTGTAAGACGAACCAACTTGCTGTAAGCATTGCTCAGCACATCTCTGCCCCACACCAGCTCCAACCGTTGCATTGCCTCATGGAATGCTCCTTGCCCGTTGGGCTCCATGAGACTCAGAACATTTATGCAAGCTTTGTGCATGGAGCTATTGTAGGCGGAGCCATTGAACTTCAGCTTCAACGAAATCCCGTGGGAAAGCTGTTCAACTCCAAGCTTCTGGCACAGCAAGCAAAATGTGACGAAAGTATCTGATAAAGATGAATCGCCGATCGCTTTCAACTTTTCACTTGCCTGGATTCTAGCGATTGGAACGTCTTTCTCGCTCGTGCATAGCCGAACTTGGATTGTAACCGTGCTCCCGCACTCCCACAGCAATTCGATCCACTCTTTGTCCTAAGGTGGGCCAGTAGAGCTAATCAGAGCAAACAAATTAAGTAGATATTACTGTTACAGAAACAGAGGATACACGGCGGAATTGAGTAATCAAAGAAAGATGGTGGGACGAAGCAGCAAACAATGAAGATAACAAAGATTATTGAAGATTTAGATTTTGCCTCTTTCGGTTTCGGAATGCCTTTACCGCCACCTCCACAAACAAAAGTCTCAAGTTTCAACACTTTCCTGTCCAGAGCTCATGTGCTGCCTAGCTGCGGCTTTCTGCAGAGCTTGGAACAGCGCGTAGTACCAGGCCCAAAGCACGAAGTGGCAGCCGACCAAATTCAAACTAGCATCGAATCCACCATCCTTTTCCACGTGGCTGGAAGTGTCGGTGACCACAATCATTTCAATGGGCCACAGCATCCGGTCCTTCCCGGTTCTGGACCTCTTGGCACCGCGCTGGACCGAGGCTTTCATCACCGAGTCTTTGCTGAAGAAGGTGTCCACAAACTTCCCTAAAGTCTCCATCCCAACATCTCCTGGGGCAGTCTCCCAATCAGGTGTGTTGGCAACGCGAAATGCACTTGTGCGTAGCCAAAGAGCTAGGCCGGACGCTTCGTACAGGCCATTGACTTTCATGGATGTCTTGCAGGTCTCTTCGTCCCAGGGGGCCTGTCCACAGATGCAGCCATGAAAAAACTACCAAGTAGACGTTTGTTTTTCAATGTCAGAGATGGATTCGCTCGTGGACATATAGATACACACAGGAAGGCACATGGACACATACACAGACAGGCAGAAAGACAAGACAATGTTCAATCGATACTCAATGGGAAAAACAACAAGTGCAAAAATACACGCAAGGGATGATCCATCAATGAAAAACTCAACTCAACACCACGCTATAATTTTTGTAAATGTCTCAGTATGTCTCAGTCTCAATGCCATGAAAAGCAATGGTATGAACATGCAGGCCTTATATCCACTCATATCTTTCTCTTTCACTTCAGAACTGATGGCCAAAGGAGGTGTTTTATGCATCGCTTTCGCAGCTGTGCATTTCAAAGGCAATTCCTTTCTGACCTGAGCTTGGCAAACGCGGGTAACGGCTTCACATGGCATGAAATTGCAACTCCCGCTTTTCGCAACATGCAAGTTTGTGGTCCCAGTCAGTGGCAATTACTGCTGGGGCCCTGGCCCATGGGATGATCTTAGTCATCACATCCAGTGCACTTGCCTCAATCCATCATCCAAGTCATCACACTTGAATCCTGTAAGTTTGCCCTTCCCAACAAGTCCCTGACGGATGGATCCTTCGGAATCTCCGGGATGCTCGGCGCCATGACAGCTTTCCCTCTACAGCCTACAGCCGGGTAAGCCGCTGGAGCCGCTTGAGCCGGTCACTTCTGATAAACTTTATAACCTGTCAGTCGTCAGTGTGGCATTTGGCTAATCAGCGAGGATGTGCTAAAACAGTTTTGAGCACTGCGTCTCTGAGCAAATTCAGAACATGGACAATATTTTCTTCACAGAAATGGTTCAGATTGTCATTGATGTCTATGATCAATGAGCCAATAGCTAACGCGCTGAACAAAACTTGGGCAAGCATGCTCTCACAGGGCCATCTATTAGTTGGCAGCAAGGGTAGGCATCACGCTGTCAGTGGGTGGCTTTGGCGCTTCTTCCGCAGGCTTTCCTGCTGGTTGCTGCTCATCAAGCTTGCTGATGATCTGCTTCAATTGGGCCCTCTTCCTTTCCAAATCACTTGCCAAAAAGGAGACGCATTCCTCCAACATGGCCTTGCGCTTCTGCATCCCAAAAGCTTTGGTTTCGGCACGAACTTCTGCGTGCGTCTGGCGCTTCGACTGGGTATGGGACACACTCATGTAGAATGGCTCCACTGTCAATGATGCCTTTCCCGCTTGGAGGAGAGACAGCAGGGATTGCACGTCAGCTAGCCAGAAGCTTCCCAAAGGATTGGTAAAAGGAGCAGCCCCACCGAGCAAGGAATCAGTGCGGAGCGTGAGCAAAAGGAATGACGTGCTTTTGTTTTCCAGCATCGGAACTGAATTGTGGCCGAAAGCAAAGAAGGCCAAGGTCTGCGCAACCACTGAGGAAGCAAACATAGGAATAGCAGAACGGTCTCTCTGAATGACAGCATCCAATGCTGATATCACATCAGCTGCCCAGTGGTTCTTCTTGAGGAGGGCTGCCAAGTCAACCGTCGCCTTGGAGTCGAGGAGATGAGCAAGTACGCTGTCCTTGTCCAGCTGCAGGCTGCATTCCATCATGGTCTGGATGATGTCCGGGATGCCGAGGTAGTAGACAAAGCCAGTAACATTCTTGGTCTCGCCCAAGGCGAAGTGAAAGCACTTGGAAGGCTCTGCCAGCTTGTACGGAAGAAAGGTCATAGGCCTCACAATAGAGAAGGAGCTAATAGACTAAATCATCAGCCATTTAGTTGAGGAATCGGGTTGGGCCACCGAATCTTACTAAGAACTGAAAACAGCAGGTCAGGAATTGATGAAAAATAAGTTGGAAGTTGTCAACTACCGCCTACCGCCCTGCTATTCCACTTTTCATCCGAGGAGCAACCACTCCGCTGTCCAACCCTCATCGAAATCCATGTGGAGGGGATCGAAGCTACGCTGCAGCACAAAACCTCCATCTTTGCTCACAGTCAACTTGCCTTCTGCCACCAAAGCCGCCATGTTGCGGTCTGTTCGCACCCATAGTAACATGTAGTTTGGCTCGCACATAACGGGAAAAACTTGCGAGCCGCTTTCATGCCGCTTCAGGAGCGTCTTGGCCCCAGGTGGTGATGCATGTGACAAGCTCACGCCCAGCTGTCGAACATGATGCTTGCGAGTCGCCGCAATGGCCTTCAAAGGCGTAGGGCTCAAGAGCCACAGCCTTGGATTTGGGTCGTCGAACTCATCACACCACCGGGCGTCGTTGAACTCAGCCTCGGTCAAGGCCATATAACCCACAGTGACTGAAGCTTCTGAAGCCATCGGAGCCGAAGAGCCGCTGGCGCCAGGAAGCCGAACAGAACTGTATCAAAGGCAGCTTGTTTGAGCACGGCCATTAAGGTTAAGAATGAGAAATGCACTTTCATACTCACCGATGTCAAGGGAGTGTGAATGTGTATGGCATCTATCGCTCTACCGCACTTCTGTCTGAGTCTGCAATTCGAGCACTTTTCCAAGGAACCGGCATCCAACCTGCCAAAGCACTTTAATACCTCAAAGTGTTGTTGCACGACCCTTCAATGCTGCCTTGCTACCATTCCATGACTAAGATTATCCATTCTGTGTGTCCAAGGGAATGTGCTGTACATGGAAGGGTGCTGTCCAAGTATCAAGAGCAGTTCTGAGCAATACGAGGATTTTTTTTAAACCGGCATCGCATACTGGCGAGTTCCCCCTCGCAAATTTGCGGACCCATACCCTATCTACCAACCAGCACAGCTCTCAGAGCTGCTCAAAAGAAGGCAAAGCTCGCAGCTTTGGGTTCGGGTTCAAGCCTGTCACTATCATCTGCCTCCATGCTCCTAACGGCAGCAAGCGCGCATTGAAGTGGTTGCACTTGTCGGGCTGGGCCCGTCTTCCACGCTTTGCTGTGCGAATGTCTGCGTACACTTGGCACCAAGCTTGCACGACGTGCTTCAACGTTGGGCCGACTCCCTGGCATCCTTTCATTGGGCCCATCAAGACACGGCCCGTCACAGCTTCGTACAGAATGCAGTAGTAGCACCATGTGTCTACTGACGGAGAAAGGACATCGAAAACCTCATCGGGCTTCAAGCCCCACAACTCTGGTGGCCTGTATGAAGCAGACACATATTGGTTGAATCTCAAACCATTTGGCCACTTCGCCGATCGAGGCGCATGAGCCGCAGGACCCGCACAAGCCGCAGGAGCCGCAAAAGCGCCATGTGAAAATATCTCTGACATGCCAAAGTCGATGAGCTTCAGCTGCCACAAATCTTCCTGCCACAAGACATTGGCAGGCTTCAAATCTAGATGAAGGATCCCGATGCCATGGATGGCTTCCAATGCTGCTTTCAGTTGCTTCGCAGCTGAAGAAGCGCTGGCCTTACTCAAGGGGCCTGTGGTGGCCAACACTGTGTGCAAGCTTGGGCCTCCGTAGTCCAAGGCCATGTGTGGGAAAGGAACTTTTCGTCGTTCCACACACAAGACTTCAGGGAACCAGCATCGGCAACAGGGCGTCACTTCGCTCTGCAAGCGCTGCAAAATAGCAGCCTCACGGTCCAAGTCACTGCTCTTGGACGCATGCTTGAAAAGCTTGACAGCAGCTTTTCGGCCACTTTCTATGTGACTCATCAGCACAGCCCCATAAGAGCCCTCGCCCAAGTATTTGCAGGAGCCATCGGAGCTGACCTGGGTACAGCAGCGAAACTCTCCGATTTCAAAGTGCTTCTTTTCTCCGCTTGCTTCAGAAACTTCTTCCGAAGTTCCATCCTCAGCATTGACCTCTGCATTTCCCCTGAAGTAGACACCTTGGATTCTCAAACTCTGACGTTGTGCTTGGAACTCATCTTGACACTGTGCGCGGTAGGCATCTTTCTCAGACGATGGAAGTCTCTTCCAGGCTTGACCCAATCTCTTCATCTCTGCGGCATGTTCGGACCTGCTGGCGCCTTTCTGCACTGTACTGTTCTTTTTCAGATACAAGGCAAATGGGCGGCACGCTTTGGGAGCTAGTCCCTGCATAACTGCCTGTCTCCGCATTGTTTTCCTCTTCGGCTTAGCAAGCCGCAGCTTCTGCTTCCGGCAATGTTGCTGGACTGAATGCTTCCCACGCAGTCGCAACTTCGGGACCCATCCCGCTTCCACCATGGCTAGATAACGCAAAGCGGTGACCGTTCAAAGCAAGCAGCTCAGCCAAAACACCCTCGTTGACAACCTATTCAGGCCAGCGCGCCCACAATCCTGAATATCTGCCGAAAGCTTCCCAGATCTGAACAAAGCAGCAGCTTAGCTGCTGGCCCACATGAACTCTGTCAATGGCAGCCACGGGAAAAGAGATGCCTTAGGAACAATGCAATATCTATCTGGAACCCTCAGAGCATATAAGAAAAGGCTCCCAAGGACCACTCACAATAGCAGCAAGATCTTTCATCACCATCATGGCAGAACAGAGCAAAATTTGACACCAATCATCTGCTGGGCTAGCATCTGCTTTCTCAAGACACGCTGCCGCTAGCAGCACTTTTTTTGACCTGGTGGTGGGTAAATCCAAAAACTCTTCTGGCTGATTCCGAGATTAAATATGGTCTGAATTGAAAAACTCCAATGGATGAACTGCTTCCACCTTTTGGCAAATGACAGCAACAGGTGCATCTGAATCTAGTATGCCGGCAGGTCTGCAAAGTGCCTGTGCTTATCGCGGCCATGATCCTGGGAATCACTTCAGGGGTACTCTTGCCTTTCCAATTACCTTAGCATGACACAGGTGATCTTTCAACAATGCAGCCTACTCTTCCAACTTGAAAGTGGTTTTACTCTTCCAGCTGAGAAGCTCCGGGCATGAAACGCAAAGTTCCTTAAGGCAGAAATTCTCATGAGGGAGAAGCGATGAAACGACATAGCATCTACGTTCATAAAACAAAAAGTATAATGGGCTGAGCATCTTCAAAACATGGATGCACTTGCATGCGTTCACTATGCAAATGTGGCTTGTCAGTTCAGCCTGGAGATCCTGGATCTTTTGACAATGTTGGTTTGGCCAGGTCTGCAAATGCTCAAGGACCTTTCCCAGAACCGCATCCGCCGCTGAGCCGCACCAACGGCCAAAAACTTTGCTGTAAGTCCCATTCCTGAAAGCACAAGGAAGAAAGAAACTTGTAGTAGACTATAAATTTAACAACGCCAAAAAACTAAAAATTAATGCGCTCTTGCATATCATTTCGCCCTGGCGCCATCTAGAACTGCAATCCTTGCTGGCACGGGCCAAACGGCCTAAGGCCTCTAGAGTCTGCAGGAAATGCGTGCCCATGAGATTGGAAGAATCGCATTGGATATGGTCCAACCTTGCACCGTGTAAGGACGCAACAAGAAACCAACCAATGGAACGCAGTAACATGCGATTGGCTAACATACTGCAAGATTAAAGATAACGAGGAGCAAATCAGGGTCCACAAGCCATTGCCCCTTGCTGTCATTGACGAACAACGGATCCAATGTGCCATCAAGG